TGCGGGAGGAGGTGAGTTCAGAGTCTGCCTACGCCGCCATCTTGACTTCTCTCCCCATTTTTTATTGTAAAATATTCATTAAACCACAGAAAACAAAAATATACAACTCAACTAATTATTATTAAGTAAATACAAGGGCAGGGATGTGACTTTGATGTGGCCTAAAAGCAGAATTATTAAACTTCAAGCTTTCAAAAAATAGCAACAAACTGACAAAACAGGCGTCACCCCATTCCTGAGGCTCACCCCATTCCCCCAGGGGGAGACTGGGGATAAAGTGCATGCAGGTTGTGAAGGCAAGCTCTGAGAAGGGGGAAGAAGAGGGGGCTGTGCCCCGCGGTCAGGAGCCCCATGAACCCTACTGGCTTCTCCCTGGGAAGGGACCATGCACGTGGTAAGCCTCATTCTCATGTCTCGAATGATCATGCATCAAGCTCCCGATGTAAGTGACATCCTGTGTTCTCCACTCTGCACGGTACAAAAGGCCTTCACTGCATTTCTGATAGTCCTCTTGCAATTCTCAACCATCAGCTTACACTGTGGGTAAAGCAACAGAGCTCCTTTAGGGTGTTGGGGAGATAGTCCTGATATCCGAATGGGGCCAATTCAGTTCTAATAGCATTAAAAACATACCTTAATTTTTTTCTTGTTATAAAAATCTGTACTCTCCTAAACTACAAACAGCCTGGGGAATGAATGGAGTGGACAGTGCGAGCCCTGTGGGGGGGGGGGGGCACTGTCACCACTGGGGAAGGGGTGGGGTGGGGTTGCCATGGCATCTGGTGGGTGGAGGCCAGGGATCTTGCTAACCATCCTGCAGTGCCCAAGATACCCACACAACACAGAATGATCCGGCCCCAAATGTCAATAGTCTCAAGCTCAGAAACCCGCATCTAGAATGCTCTAGAATGGAGGTCCATTTTGAAGAGCAGAAACTCCGTTCTCAGCGGAGATCTTGGTACGTGGTGTGCTGGGGAAGGGTTGGTGGTTGACTCTTGGGGCGGGAATGTATGTAGCTTGGAGGAGCTGCTTCAAGATATTCCAATACAGGGCCTGTGACAAAGCCTCTAATGGGTGACTGTGGGTGGCTGGGAAGGGCGAGTGGGTGATACTGTAGGGGTACCCACCTGTACTCAGTCTGTGGCGGCAGAATCCTGGTCAAAAGAGGTCAACCCTTGTGATTTGCCCTCAGGTGGATTATGAAGCAACGGAGCCCTCGTTCAAGGCCATCCTGGAGGGCACGACCCTGGAGCAGGCCGTTGGACTTCTCCGGAGGGTGAACGGCTTCTGCTGCCTGTCTGTGAAGGTCAACATGGAGGGTACACACTGCCCCCGGCCTCTCTTCCATGAGGCCGCCTCTCAAGGCTTGCTCACCACCCAGTCCCGTCTCTCTGTGAGCCCCTGGCTGTGCCGACACTAGCCCTCCTGGCCCACCCAGAACCAGGCTGCGCCCCAAGTGTGCAGAGGCCCCCAAGCCAGCTGCGGACCTCCCACCCACTTACTCCGGCACCAGTGGTTCCTGAGACTTTGGGGGAGGTTCCTTCTTTCCCTCCTATTTTCACATTCTAGAGCCTTCCTTGTGTAGGATCACAGCCCTGGGTTTATCTGTCTTCATGTCCTCTTTGATCAGGTTATAAGAAGCTGGTCCAGGACCTAGAGGCCAAAGTGGCTACCTCAGGGGACTCCTTCTACATTCGGGTCAACCTGGCCATGGAGGGACGGGCGGAGGGGGAGCTGCAGGTGCGTTGCAATGACATTCTGCACGTCACAGACACCGTGTTCCAGGGCCGCGGCTGCTGGCACGCCCACCGCATCAGCCCATACAGCATGAAGGGCACCGAGCATGGCACCATCCCCAACTACTCACGGTGAGCCGCTGCCATGGACCCCGACACTGTCCCAGAGGGGGCCAGGGAGCTGCCTGGGCAGACATTGCCTGCTTTGCTTAGGGTGGGGGGGATCCCCTCCTGCCAGGAGGAAGGATGGTGTTCCAGAGGCTTCCCTTCGCTGCCTAGGAATAGAGGGTGAGAGTGAAGAGACGCCCCAGAGAAGCAGAACCCCCACTGTGCTACCCGCCATGTTCACTGCTTGGATGGGTTTGTTTGTGAAAAGGGCTGTACCTCAGTCCTGGAGCATTTGAGAGCACTCGGGACCAGAGTTTCCCAACTTCAGCATTGCTGACATTTGGGGCTGGCTCACTCTTTGTCATGGGGCCTGTCCTGGGCACTGTAGGATGTAGAGCCTCTGCCTACCAGATGCCAGTAGTTTCCCTGCACCCCAGTTGTGACAACCAAAAGTGTCTCCAGACACTGCCAGTGTCCCCTGGGGGTAGGGTGACCAGTCATCCTGGTTTGTCCAGGACTATCTTGGTTGTAGCACAGAAAGTCCCAAGTCCTGGGAAACCCTTGGGACAACTGGGACAGTGGTCAGCCTCCCTGGAGCAACATCACCCCTGCTGAGAACCATGTTCTAGACCAACCAACATGGTTCTAGGCCAACCATAGTGCACACAGCAGGGGGTCTCGTCCAGCACCTCTCAAGCCTCATTGTCAACCTGAGTCACCTGGAGATCAAACTCAGCAGGTGCAGGGAGAGGCCTGAGATTCTGTATTTCCAACCCGCTCTCTCGGTGATGCCAGTCTGAAGTCCTCAGGCCACACTGGGAGTAGCGAGGTTCTAGAGTGGTGGCCTCAACCCAGGCTCACACTGAGTCACCTGGGTCCCACCTCAGAATAATTCAGTTGGCATTTGCAGGGTGGGCTGAAGCTCTGCAGTTAAAAGCACCAGGGGACTGCAGTGGCTGCCAACGTGGAGGACCACGGCCTAGGGCAGCAGGGGTGTTCTGGAGCACTGGGCAGGGAGCCCACTTCTCCTTCCAGCTCTCCTTGCAGCTGGGTCGGGGCTGTCATCCTCTGCACAGGGCTCAGCAGCTGCTCATCGCACTCATCCAGGACATGGCTCAGCAGAGCACCATCACCCGCAAGGTGAGGTGGCAGGCTGGCCAGGGCAGCCCCGATCCCGGATGCAGGGTCCCCCTTGGGTGGGCCCTGCCTCTCTCCCCTGGCCTTCCTCCTTCCCCAGTTCACATCATCTTTGGGGAGGGGCCCAATCAACCCCTCCTCCCACCCAAGCATCCCAGCCCCACCTGGGGTGGGCTGGAAGAGGGGTGGGGGGTGGCTGGGGGTCCTGTGTGGAGGGTGGAGCCTGCTGATCCAAGGGGGGTGACTCGATGGGTCTCTCCTCCGTGGCCCTCCAAATCTTCACCTGGGTCTGCACACCATACCTAGCCTGCAAGCTCTTCTAAGTGTGCAAACACATCATGTATGCTTTCTCCGTCATGCTCCCAGTTCACCCCATTTGCCTGTCAGTCTGCACCCCATGCTTATTCCCTCTGAGGCTGGGCACCTTTGTGTTCTCCTGACACAGAACACTCAGCTTTCCCTGAGCAAGGTGCTGGGATGGCCCCCTGGACGGCAGCTGGGCTAGGCTGGGGACCCCTACTCTTCTTGCCTTATGCAGCTGGCCCTCATTGTGTATACCCAGCAGGGGAGCGCCCTACTCGGGGGCTCTGTCTGCCTCTCCTCCCTCCCTTCAACTCCCACCCCCTGGCACAGGGGCTGGGCCTTCAGGCTGTTCAGTGGGCACACCCTGAATGTCCAGGGACCACCCTGGAATTGGCAGTGGGGCAGGTGCCAGGCCCCCCGTGTGGGTGACTCCTCCTCCTCATTCTTTCTCCCTCCTCCAGCAGTCTTCCGGGGTACCCCAGAAGTTGGTCCGCATCGTCAGTGTGGACAGAACCAAGGCTGGCCCTCTGGGTTCATCCTTTGACGGGGCCCAGTCAGACCCCAGCAGGGTGGAAGGTGAGGCGGGTGGAGCTGGTGGAGGGGCCGCTGGCTCCACGCGGGCGAGGGTCTTTGGGGGCTGCTGCTGGTTGGTCAGCTTGCTCAGGGTGACGCCACCACTCGTTTAGGCCAGAATCTGTGTTTTAAGAATCATAAGTGACATCTGTGCATCTTTCTGGAGAACACCTGAGCTACACATCTTTAATGTCCTGTAAACCGATAGTCCTACCTCTGTAAGTAAAGTAGTCCAAAGGCATCGACACAATTATATTGACAGCAGTCCTTTCAGAATAGAAAACTATCCAAATGCCCCACGTTACACAAACCGGTGGACCCCTCAAGTAGCTACTGAGGGATTGGTGTGGGCGTGAGGTCATGACACAGGTCAGCACAGCACGTACCCTGGAACAGGAAATGTCTCGCGATGAAGACGAGCAGAAGTGAATTTAGAGTAAGGTAAACCGTTCTGAGCTTATCTTCTTCTTGAAAAGGTTTTTTAGGTGCATAATATACAATGGCTGTTGAAAACAGAAGCATAGCCTAAAAGACAGGGGAGAGGCGTGAAGGGACCCAGGGGGGAGGCAGGGACTGGGGACTGTGTGTCCCGCGAGGATGGGGCTGAGGGAGAGGAGGCAGGAGTCTTGCAGATCATCGGGGAGGAAGAAAATCATTTTCCCTATCCTCCCTGTGGGCCAAACAAGGGGAACGGGATTAAATTGCAGCCTGTGAAGCTGAGCCTGCGGAGCCGCAGAGCCGTCTAATCACGGGTGCAAAGGAATCGCTCAGCCTGCGAGGGATGTGTGGTTCGTGGCGTTAGAGCCGAGCGTGTGCCCACGTTACTGTAGGTGCTGGGGCGGCGGTGAGCAAAACAGGCACAGTCCCTCCTGGGGGGACGCCTGGTAAAGAGCCCAGGACAGCCGATGGGTCGGGGGCGGCTGCGGCCCGGTGCCCGGCCCTCTCAGGCTCCTCTCCCCCACAGAGCCCTCCCTCGTGCGCTTCTGGGTTGAGAGCTGCTTCACCCTGGTGCCCTACACCCTGGTGCACCCCCACAGGCCTGGCCGGCCCCGGCCCGTGCTCTTGGTGCCCAGGGTGGTCGGCAGGATCCTGAGCGAGAAGCTGTGCCTCCTCCAGGGGTTTAAGAAATGCCCAGCAGGTAGGCTTTCACCTGGGGGCCCACCTGTCTGTCAGGGGTGGGGCGAGGCCTTGGCAGAACACTTTATCTGCTCTGGGGAGAGCAGCGTGAAGGTCGATGTGTGAGTGTCCTGGGGCTGCTGTAGCAAATGACCGCAAACTGGGCAGCTTCAGCCTCACAGTTCTGGAGGCCAGAAGTCCGAAATCAAGGTGTCTCTGCAGGCTGCACTCTCTCCAAAGGCTCTAAGGGAGGATCCTTCCTGCCTCTTCCGGCTTCTGGTGGCTGCTGGCGATCCTTGTCGGTCCTTGGCTGTGGCTGCTTCACTCCTGTCTCTGCCTCCTCATCACGTGGCCTTCTCCTTCTGTGTCCCTCTGTCTTCACATGCCCTTCTCCTTCTGTGTCCCTCTGTCTTCACATGCCCTTCTCCTTCTGTGTCCCTCTGTCTTCACATGGCCTTCTCCTTCTGTGTGTCCCTCTGTCTTCACATGGCCTTCTCCTTCTGTGTGTCC